CTTGTTTAATTTGTCGTTCACTCACTTTTATAATTATTGCAAAATATTCTTGACCAAGTTAAAAATTTCTCTTTAAATATGCTTATTTATTTGGTTACATAGAAAATAAGAAGTGTGACAGCCAAAGTACATTCACAGGGAGTAGGGTAGCAAGGTCTTAGACAGGAATTAGATGGGATGAAGGTATGTTGGTTACTACACCCAGAAGGAAGTGAAGTAGTGACTCACTGGATAGCACTGCATGTGGTCTCACATTTCTGGAACAGTGGGTTTGATTCCCATACCTGACCCAGTGTGTGGTGTTTGTGTATTCTCCCCATGATTATGCAGGATTACTTCCACAATACAAAGGCATATGATTTAGGTGTGTTGGTTTTTCTATTGTCAAAAGTATGTTATCTAAGTGAGTGTGCCCATGATCTGTGGCCTGTACTACGAAGTTACTGGCTTGTCGGGGTAACTTGTCAGATTTAAGGTACTACAGTTTAAATGGACTTCATATTCGTTCACTTACATTTTGCCCAGACTATATACCTTAAATCCGACAAAATACCCCGATAAGCCAGTAACCCTGCTTCGTAGTACAGGCCCCAGAAGACTACTAGTTTGAAAATCACACACTGTGAGCTATTTAGAAACAGCACTTAGTCTAACTGCAAGCCTTTGAACGAGTGGAAAAAACCAGATGACATGCAAATGCCACACATAAATATTCCCACCCCAGCCCTGGAATATGAGGCAATAGTGCAATCCACTAAGCTACCATACCACTTAACATAGTAATATTTTTATTCATAATTTTTTACTTATGATTAATTAAACTTGAAATGTTTTTCCACTTTCATGACCTCACATACTGATTTACAGTACTTCATACATGCCAATAAAACATCCAGGCTTGAAGAGAACAGATAAACTTTATTAATGGCAGAGGGGAAATAAGTATTTCAATATTTCATTACCACTTTATTAATAATAGTGTTATATGATTCTGTTTATCTGTATAGTAATTATTAATGCTTCATATTTTGAGCATATGGTGAAATCAGAAATATTTTTTTCAATGTTTCATATTCATAAAGGTTACCACTTAGCTTTTTACAAACACCTGTAAACACTTGCAGATGTTGTAAATGATAATCCTTTGACTTTGGAGTTTGTAAACATTAGTAAACCACAGAAGCAATTTTGTAAATCAATTCAACCTACTACTCTGCATCAATTCAACCCATTACTCTTATATATGTTATATACAATATTTATTTGAATTTGAATTAACTATATAAGAATTTTTTGATTTGCAAATGTGTACTTATTTCTACTATAATTATCTATTAGGGCAGCACAGAATGCTGGAGAACTTGAATCAAAACAAATTGCTTTGGCTATAAAAAAGACTGACTTACAATCAGTTCATGCATGACTATGTGTTATGTTCTATCATTCAGCCATGAAAAATTGTACAACTACTTTATCACATCTCTTACATTTACTCCTCTCTGTTGTGTATCTTGTTTCCTGTATGTTTTCTCCTTCTGTGTTATGCCTTAATTGTCAGTTGTCTATTCTCATGGTGTCTCCTATACAGTATAGCAAGATGTGCCAACAAAAATTTCCACCAGCTGTGGTCATGTGGCAATAAAAATTCTGATTTTGATACATTATCACACAATACTAAAGCTACCACAACCTTTTATCTGCTATATTGTATTTTAATTACTAGAAAGTGTGGTAGTTTAGTGGGTTATTGCCCTGCAAAATATCTCTATGGAAGGAATTTTCATGATTCATATTACAAGTGGTTTCCTGAATGAATTTTTATGTGTTGAAAAAACTTAAAACATATGTATTTTGCTAAAGACATGAAGCAACTTTCACTTCTCATTGGCTTGTTGCTTCCCACTGACCTGATGCAAATATTTAGACAATTAATTTGAGCAGATGAAAATCAAACCCCATCTTTTATATTGAAGTCTTCAATTTTAATCAGAAAATAAGTTCCATAAAAAGGAACTGGAAAAATATATGAAGCAATGTGTTCTGAAGAAAGCTGAAACCTAATTACAAAGATTAATGGTCTGTAGAAAGTAGCCCACAATTACCTAAATGGTCTCAGAGAGAAGTGGTTCTGCATCTCAAATGCCAAGAATGTCATTTTAAAAATATTAATGGATGTCTTAACACAGATGAAGGTCTTTGTGTCCTACCTCACAGTATAGAGGAGAGGGTGCCAGTTTTATCATATTCTCCACATTGTCAGAAGGTATTAGGATGAATTATTTCCACAACACAACACACAGTCAGAAAATGGAGTGCAGAAATACCGCATAATTTTTTTTCACATACACTGAAGAAATCACTCATCATTCTCATGATTTGCCTCAAAAAAAAAATAAAATAAATGAAAATACTAGCAATAGATGGTTTTGAACGACTGAAAAGCGAAATTATCCATGACAATGCAGTGGAACATATGTCAACTTACACACCCGACTTAGAAGACTTCATCAAAAATTTGGTGAAAAAAAAACCATATATATTATTTTGTTATATGTGTATGTATATATGTATATGTATGTGTGTGTGTGTGTGTGTGTGTGTATATATATATATATATATATAGATATATATATATATAAATTTCATTAAAACATGGTATACGTATAATTTCATGATATATATATATATAAGGAAATAATATGTATGCAATTTTGTTTTAAGGGCATCTCCTCATCTCCCCCTTAATCACCATTCGAAAATGAATATGGATTTCATTTAAAAATGTCATGAAGAACTTTCTCTAAGACCCCTAGTGGTGTAGATCTGATTACACATCCATATCAAAGAGTACAGTTAAGCTCCTGAAGATTGTCTCCCCCAATCCTTTTCAAGGAAATGAGTGCTCTAGAGAGCCAAACACAATTTCTTTTATCCTCAGGGAAGTTTTTTTTCTGATGTTAAAACAGAAAACATTGGTCAGTGAAACTGTCTTCATAGTTTTTTTTCTCCTCTAGTCACTTTCTTGGTGCAGTTTCAGTGTATTTCCCAGCTTACATGCATTGATAGTGACATGTAAAATATGTTTTTGGATTTGTAGCATGTCTGTGTATTTAGTCGAAAAAACTAAATTTACTTATCTCACAATTTTATCCAAAGTAACTTACAGAAGAGAGCAAGGTTACTTTGTTAAGGTATTCCTCCCTGGGCATTGAACCCACAACCTTTGCATGGTTAGCAGAATGCGCTACTTGTTGAGCAACAGAATCCAACATAAATATGTTTTTTTTTCCATTATTGCTAAGCAAATAATTTTTTTCCAGACACTTGCACAGGCTACAGTAATACTTATGGCAACATATAGCTTATAAGAAGCTCATGTGGTTAAAAAAAAGTTTTCAAATTTAAAAATCTGGAATTTTACAGACAAATTAAATGTCCAAAAGTCTGGCATTTGAATAAGATGCTTTTATGCAGTGTTGGCAACAGTATTTTCACTAATAGCCAATATGATTCACGAAGCTTGGCTTACTGGTATACAGTAATGACGGCATTTCAATGCATTAAATATAAAGATATGTCTGGCATTGCCAGATGGTGATGCACACAATATACAAAAAAAAGAACATATTTATTCAGTCACACCTGAGTTGAAGTTGATGTTATGATCAGAACACAAAAAAATAATGTGCAATGCAGCAGAGTTGGTGGAATATTGACTATTTGTCTGATATTAGGGGCAGTGTTTCACCTGAACAGCACACCTTTGGACTGTGGGAGGAAATCAGTCCCAACACAGGAAGGGCATGCAAATTCCACACACAGCCTGAGAACGAAATCAAAAGCACGTGATCGGGAATTCCGGGCCATAGTGGAGCAACCGCAGCTCATCAGTAATCTCCAAACACTGAAAATTCAATAACTGGCGAAACTTCAGCCGCAAGTGGAAATACATTTACAACCTTCAAAATTTCAGTACTGTGGCTTTAGCAAAATGTTGTATTTAACTAAAAATATAACCAGCTACGTTTCTGAGGAATTTCTTGGAAATTTTCAACAGACTTTAACAGTCTTCTGAATACATGTGTAAAGCCATGAGCAAATTAACCAGATATGTTTGCGTCTACAGGCTTTAGTTTAATAATAAATAAAAAAACTAGAAATAAAATGTTACATAAACACATTTTTAAAATGACTGTTTGGCGTATTTTCGAAAAGGTATTACTTTTTCAGATTTAAGATAAAAAAGAATCTTTTTTCCATATTTTTCACCCACATTTGGTTTAAATTTTGAAATTTAAGGATTTTGTCTTTGTAATGTGTGTGCTTGGAGTTTGTCTGTCTTTCACGGGTTTGCTTTACGTTGCTTACAGTTTCAGCCCAAAAACGTACATTTAGGCCAATTGATGTCTCTACGTTGCCCGTAGAGTATGACTGGCAACCTCGTCCTGCCTGGCATAGGTTCCAGCCCTTATTCTAAGTCTATAAATATCGTCACTTTTACGACACTCCCTTAAATACCTCGTTAAATCAGCCCGGTTCCATTAATATGAAATCAAATCATTCATGTTTTCAGGTTTATGGATGAAACCAAAGTTTGTAAAAGGCCCCTGAAATTATTGGACTAAGCACTAAACGAGAGTTAAACTGAAGAACCCAAATTCACAGTTAAACTAACTTTACCGTAATCACGCGCCACGAATAGAAAACTGAGAGTTTGCCAAGCAAGGTTGCCAACCCTGGGATTTAGACAGATAAATGCCCAGGGTTTAATGGCTTAATTCTCATGAAGTTGCCGTCGCTCAAAGATTTGAACATCAGCTTTATTTTCAAAGATTGTTTGTCTGAACGGGCGCGATTTCTTATTCCGAAGTGAAGAATCTGCATTTAGGATGTTATGACTTTTGAATAAACCAAACGCAAGTGGTTCTTAACTGTGAAGACGAATTAGATCCTAAGCGAAGCAATCTCTGCCGTGCACTCTAACCCTCTTAGCGGAGAGAGAGAGATGGGGGATGTCTCACTGGTTGCTAAGGGCAACGGGGTGATATAGATGGTGTGTATTTGCTGAACCCCAGCTGCGCGTCTCTTAATACTGCTGCGACCCTCACGTCCCCGCGCAATTCCAGACACTGGCTTGGCTGCTTTCAGGCGAGAGGAGACGAGAAAGGATTTGATTTGCGTCTTTCCCTGTCTGGGATCGATTATTACCTTTCTTTCATACGCAATAACGGATTTACCTTAACGAGCACGAGGTTTGGAAATTATTGCTATATTAACTCAAATTTTATGTGGGAATGTTTGATTAATTCATCCTTTGTTTTGTTTCTTAATTCACAGCTTACTAACTTGTAGGATTTCATTTATATATTCTGCATAAAATGCTAGCGATGATTCCAGTGTATTGTTTTTTTGCATTAAGAGAGTAAGTGAACAAAAAGAATTGTTTAGGATTTTAGGATATAGCTCTCTTATTGTCTTCACTGCGCGTATTCGGATGCGTTTTGTCGAATTACATGCTTAATGCAGTCAGTATAGTATGTGGAAAAAAGAATGGTGAATTTCAGTCACAGTCTCGGTTTTTCACAGGGGTTATTCACTATCTGTTGGATTTCCTGCTGTCAGACATTTAAAAACTCACTCAAGTAAACAAGTAAATGGTCTCGTCCTCCGCTTTATTCTTTTACGAATCAAAGCAATTCATTTTGAAAATGTCGAGTAATGTACATAATAAGATTACAATAAGACTGCAGTCAGGTAGTGTTTATTTTCCCAGTAGGTGGGAAAAGCAAGCTTTTATAACTAGATATGCATAATACTTATGCAAATACATTTTTATGGTGGTTTGGCGTTGACATAATTGTGACAGAACATGAAATAGCCTACTATTATATTTATTTCTCAAAAATGTGACATTTATAATACTCCTATTATCACTTTTAAATCATTTTGCTATGAATGAATGAATAATTTATTTCCATTTTAATGTCCCAGAATTGACAAAATAATTAATACGGGGGTATCTAATTATTGTTTTACATGCCCTCATGGTTTCCTCTAATTGGGAAAATGCGTGTTGATTCCCTTGATTTGATGTCTAAACAGCTTGAGCGGAATAGCTCAGTCTTCTTTTTGGAGATAATAATATTGCAGCAACAACAACAATGCGTAGACATTCGTAAGGGCTGGAGGGGGAGGGGTATTGTGATCCATGTTAGATATGTAAATGAGGTTTAGGAAAGGACAGGCACCTGCTGTCTGGACAATTTGCATTGGCTTTTCACTGCTTCCTCGTTCGAATGCTGCTTTATTTCTGCAATGTGAGATTGGAACGTAAAGTGAAGGTCTAGCACTGGTTTCTCCATTTTTTCTTCGGATGTGCTAGAGCGTTGTAGATAACAAAGAACTGGGTTTGTCGAAGAGGGAAACCAGCCAAGAGCTCAGTTGTTCATATGTCAGTCAGAAGAGGACTCTGTTGTCTCACTTTCCTGTGAAAGCAGGCCAGATGCACTAGAAACACACAGACCCCATGAACTCCAAAGGTTATTCGTTTTTTTTGTTTTTTATTTGGAGTTTTTTGTGTTACTCTAATACCGAAACAAGATAATGTATGTTTACATTGCATGTTAGAGTTTTTAATTTACATTTAAAAGTCACTTAGGCTTATACCACAGTCATTTGAATAATATAATGCAGCTGTGTTCAAATCCTTAGTAGATTATGACAAATCATGTTAATCATGTTGAACAGATACACGTAAAACTCATTAAATTTGTAACACGCATATATAGTCCTCTTATTTTATTGCTAAATATTCTGCACATCTGCTTGTTTTCTCTCAAATTCTGTGTAGCACCCTTTTGTGACGACATCTCAGCAAACCGTGCATCTACTTAGCTGTGCAGTACGGCTTTTAAATGGTTAGGTGAGAGAAATCCAAAGCCTACAAAGCAGCTGTCTAGAATATATTGGGTATTTATATACTTCATTTCAAGCTATTGCGCTGTCCTGCATATTTTAAATAGCTAATATCTGTCATTGTTGTTTTACGTTGAGTCAAGGGCTGACTCCACATACAGATGTAGCCAATGCTATTTTGCATAGGACTTTTTCTATTCTGTTGTTTTAATGAGTCATTTTTAACTTCTCCCTTTCACCAGGATTACAGTTCCTCATCTCTTTGGATCACCTGGAAACATCATATGGATCTCTGTATTCTGAAGAGAACCCGTTTTGGATTATTCTCAGTGTCAATTCATGATCAATGAACTTTGCTGCATTAGACAGAAAAGAAATTGCTACCCCTGAAGTGTAGGATCTTCTTATACTTTTATTGACATGGCAGCTGTAACATGCAACGACCCTGTTGAGGAAGATGGCTTGGAGGGAGCCGAAATGAAACCCATAAATTTGGAATCCTCCACAGGACAGTCTGAAGAACAGAAGCCCACTGATGAAGTAACACAAAGCACAGAGCAACAGCTGGGTGACGGAAAAACCAAGCCGACCTCAGAGAAAATCTGGGGCTCTTTCCTAAAAAACAGTGGGAAGCTGGGTAAAGTAATGGTAGGGAAGAAAAAGAAAGACATAGGTAATACAGAGGCAAATGTGGAAGGTCCGGAGCAGGAAAAGTCCACAGCTCTCTGCCCAGTCAAAGAAGGGGAGGAGGGATCTTTACCTCCATCATCCAGTGCGGAAGGTTCTGGGCCACAAAAACAGTGCAACAATAAAGAACCAGAAAAGCAGGAGGATGAGGCGACTGCGAAAGAACAAAAGCCATCAAGCTCTAACAAGGATGTTAAGCCAAAGCAGGGTGAGAAGTCTAGTGTGCGGGATTTCATCCGCAAGCCTGTGTCCAGAATTTTCTCACACAAAAGCACAGAGAAAAAAGACTTGGCCAATGAAGCTCAGACAGAGAAAAAGACTAGATCCAGATCTCTAGACAGAATGGAAGACACCGAAGCCTGCTGCAGTGCAACAGATCCAACTGATGATTCAAAAGCAGCTGGGGAGGCACACGGGTTGATTCCTCATGAAAGGAAAGCCTGGCATTCTTTTAAGAAGTTTATGCCACAGAAGAATGTCAAGAAAAGCAATGAGGATTCCAAGGATTTGGAAGGAGCAGAGGCTTCACATGGCGACGCTGGAGAATCCGAGTCAAAGGTGGATCATACCGGGCAGAAAAAATGGAAATTGAAAAGATCATGGACGTTCCAAGGGCTGAAGAGAGACCCGTCTATGACTGGCATCCATAAATCAAAGGGTGCTGATAAAGGAGAACAGATCACTGGGGATGTAGATCAGGGGACTGTGGCACTCTGTGAAGACGGCAAACTTCCAGGGGAAGCGGAAGCAGAAGATAAGGCACATGCAGAGCAAGAGGAAGAAGTTTCTACTACGCAGCGCGCAAAATCAACAGATCACCATGCCAGTGAAATCTGGACTTCATTCAAGAAGCGAGTGACACCTAAGTCAAAGAAGTCAGTGGATCACGTCACTGTCACTGAGGAAGACCAGACAGATGCAGATGAGCATAATGAGGCACAAGCTTGTCAAGAAGAAGTAAAAGTTTCCAAACAAACAGAGAAAAAGACTCATTTCAACAGAGCTGTGTCACTAAAAAATTTTCTCCTGCGCAAAGGGAAAAGTGCCAGTATGGACATCGGAGAAGCCGTCGTGGAGCAAAAGGATGGCAATGGAGAAAGTGCAGGTGATGCTCCTGATGACAAAGATGGTAAAGTAAGGGAATGTGAAAGCCAAAACCTTGAAAATGTCAAGCATGATGAAGACTCTGCTAATCAGATGACTGTGAGTGATCTCCCAACTGGGAATGAAGAAGAAAGTGAAGTAAAGGCCAACAAAAGCACTAATGAAGAAGAAAAGCACTCCGACCTTGAGCCGAAACCACCAGAGAACCCACCTCAAGCAGCAGCTACATCACAGGACAGTTCCAGTGTTAATGGAACCGCAAGCAAAGAAGTTTGTCAGGAGAATGAATCCAGCCCTGAAGACAATTCCAGTATTCCAGAGGTAGAATGTGCTCAGTCCAGTGCTGAGGGAAAAGAGGAAAGCATACAGGACACTACAGGACATAAAACAGTTTCCCTGGAAAATGCAGAGGAAGAAATTAATAAAGTGGAAACATGTCATCAAGAATCTGAAGTGCAGGATGAGAATGATTGCTCCAGCAGACCAAAAGATGACGAGAACCTAAACCAAGAACAGCCCTCTGATAGCAAGCACTCTTCTGATAGTCCAGCACCTTAAAGCGGTAAGTGAGATCCAGACTATGAATACTGTCTACGGTGGTCTGGATGTTACAAATCAGATCCGCACTGTAAGTTAAATGCCATTGCTTGTGCATACATCTCCTCAAAATGGAGGTTACCATCCTGGTTTAGGGGCACATACTGATCAACTGGAGGAGATTATGTTCTTAAAGGTTACAGATTCCTTTATCTAAATGATGGATCAGATGCCATTGATCCTACTCCAACCTCAAGAACAAATATGCAGATATTGCTTTTCATCATTGATTGATCTTGTCCATAGTGCAAAGAAAGATTTCAGTTTTAGGCTTTTATGTATTAAATCCAACATACTCTTCTGTTGTCTTAATGCAAGTGCCAAAGGTTCTCTGAAAAAATCACTGTTAGGGGAGTGCTTGCCATAGTCTGATTGGGGAAGGTTTTAATAATATTTTATTTCTTTTTTTTTTATTCTTCTTCAGCAGAAAGCAGCAAGGAAGGTGAAAGGTGGTCATCCAAGAAGCACCTGATCAGCGTTGGATTCATTCAACAAGGATCTTTTCTGTTAAAAAGGGAATTATCACATTTACGTTATGATTTGTTGTGGTCAGAATGATGCAATACATCAAAAAAGTAGAATCTCTAAAGCAATAATTCGTGTGTTAGAGCAGTTTGTTTCATCATGCACTTTTAAATGTTTGCTTGTCCACTAGTAAAGATATATTGTCCGAATCTTGTCATCTTTGTTCCATCAAATGTTTGTTACAACAGTTGCTTTCAGATCAAAACAGTTTTTGACTCCTGTTTCTTTTGTGTTTTTTAATAGACAATACTCCGTGATACAAGGAACATATGTAGATGACCCAATTTGTTCAGTATGAAACGTATTCTGGTCTCTGTGTTAACGTTTTAGACTGTTATCTTCTCAACATAAATAAACCCTCAAAATATGAACACGACAGCTGTATTAGTCTCCTTATTTTCTAAGTAGATGCTATAAGTATAAGTTTAAGATGAGGTTGATCATTGTTTGGCTGTGGAAATGGATCTATGCCAAGCAATGACAGAATCTGTGAGACTGCAATTTGGGAATAAAAGTAATCATTAGTATCTGCAAGGCAAGAGGGATTATAGCAAGAATTAATTTCCACTGGAAATACAGCACCAGTATTTACTTTGCATGAGCTAAAACGAAGAGATTTTATATGATCATAAATTTTCATGAGCCTCGTTTTGCTTACGCTGATGCCTGTAAAATCGATGCCGAATACATGCTACACTATTTACTTTTGATATTTTAGTGAATAAAAATATTCAAACTGCATCTCTTGCAGTCCAACAAATATTTGAAGAGAATGCTTTTAATCGGGGCAGTGGAAGCTATACTTAAAAATGTTTCCGTTCTTGCTGGAAAAAATAGATATTTTATCATGAAATATTACAGATTTATTTGATCTCTGGCTACAGTTGTACTAACATTTGAGAAAATCGGTATATTTTACTGGAAAATCCATACAGGCTTTTCCCCTTTTTCACATTTAGCTTTATCATTTTAGCATGTATAAAATTTTACCCAGCTATTATATGGATTGGATAAAGCAGAAAAAGAATCTTAGTGTAAGACTGCTATAAAGATTTCTGACTGAGGATGCCCACAATGTGTCTAGACTGTCATATTTGCATATGCCATTCATCTTGCAAAAGAGAAATGCACAACATCGTTCTCATTTAATTATTGAAAGTAGTATTCAGGCTATGCAAATGATGTTTGGAATAACAATGTCAAGGGTGAGACTCTGGGGACCTCATTAATGAATACACTGTCAGTATTCCCAGTTGATTTTATTGAGCAGAAATACAACAAAACAATCAGAGTGGTTGTTCTCACACGATCAAGTCAGTTTATTTTTGGCCCGAAGTTCAATGCATAGATCTGTTATTGAGCAGTATGCAAAAATAAGAATAATATAAATATTTTAGCTCATGTAACATTCCCACAGTTTACGGTAACCTTTCGCGCACAATAACCCTACAAGGTGATCTTGTTTGTTTCTGCTGTGTCACTCACTTCCCTGTAGCGCCATCTTGCGCATAAATCTGGAATTACATGCGATAAAGGCCAAGACCTTGACAAAAAGATATATTTTCTCCAATCCATTTCCCAAATTCAGCTTCAACCTCAACTTCGATCGTTTGTCAATTACTTTCAAACACAAATATATTTAAAAGCACCATTTAAATTTTTTTTTGCAGCTTATTAACTGGAAATACAAACTGTTCCATTTTATAATAAGACGGAAATTGCATCTTTTTACAGGACAATTGTTTAACTCAGTGAAGAACAGAAGATTAGCATTCATTCTATTAACATTTATTTTCTCCAGACTTCAAAATGTAGCACATTTTTTGTACACCAGAGACATGCCCACAAAAATACTGCATAGAGCACTTAAAATGTGTAAATAAATTGAAAAACTCATAAATTCTTGATAAATACAACTTAAATAGTTTATAATTTAAGTTAAAAAAAAAAAAATTTTGAATCCATTCTTTAATGTGTAAAATAATTTGCTGAGATGAAAATCCTGCTTAAATAGACATATTTGTGATCGGACTTATGATTGATCAAATCATTTATATTATTTTTCTTACTAAGTTTTATTCTTTTTAAATTCTAAATATCCAACCATGTTCATAATCATTTACCCAATGCAAGGTCAGGACATTTTTGGTGATGGAATCAGGAATCATATGGGATACAATCCATGTCAAAGCACATAGACTCACTTACACACTACATGCAATTAAAAGACACCTATTCCTAACTGTATGTTTTTGGTGTGAGGGAGGTAAGCAGAGCATCCAGAGAAAACCCAAACTAATAGGGCAAAAAACATTCAAAATCCACAAACACAGATCATGGGGACAAAATTTAACCCCCAACTCAAGGTGTAAGGCCACAGTGATGCCCAGTGAGCTGTACCTGCTGCCCTTCAATCCTAGAAATATTTTAATAAAATATCCCATAATGTTTATTTTTTATCAGTATTTAATGTGATGCATTTCACATTTCCCCATCATTAATCCATACATCTCCTAGCTGTTTAATCAGTACAGGGTTGTGGGGCTTAAACCCCAAATTAAATTTAATAAATATCCACATACCCCTCTTTCTTCCAAAGACTTACTCAATACAAGTAAAGTCTATATATCTTTTATTAAATCTCATTAAGTGACATTATTTTTCAGATCCAAAGTTCTACACCACAAGAAGAAAGAAAATTTATCTTGATAGATAGATAGATAATAAAGTCTGTCTGTCTATCTATCTATCTATGATACATTTTCTTTCTCAGTATTTATACATTAGGCATGATGTTTGTCCTTACAAGTTTGCTGATATTAAACCCAAGCACTTAATACACACACACACACACACACACACACACACACACATACAAATACACAGCAATTTAGAGACACCTGTTCATCTGAATTGTATGGTCCAGAAGTTTGCAGAGAAATGAAAACACATAAGATGTAAATGTAAAATATAATTTAAAAATCATTCCTTTTCTATATGTCTCAAATTGTATTTAATCAGATCAGCTTTTGGTCATTTAAACCCTTTTATTTCTGGTTTCATAATCCCCATTTCTTTGAATTTCACCTCTGTAGACTGCACATGCTGATTAATACAAAGAAAACAGTTTACGTTTAATGAAGTTATTTCTATGTGGAGCATTAATGTACTTTCAACATAAAGCATAAGTTACTGCACTGTGTAACAAGGTACCACATACAGGAACACCTACCAGTTTTATATCCGTTCTCTGCTTTTCGGTGCGGCTCATCTTGAGCTAAGTATTTTTCAGTAACCCCACATTGATCAAACCCTGTAGGGCAACTGAGGTGGATCCCCGGTACTGGTCCGTGGCCATTAAACCATCGGGCCGCCTAACTCTGAGGGTTTTGCTAAACGGTTGATTAATTTTCAAATATTAAATATATATATCTACATTTTTACGACCCCTCGTAATAATTCCCCCTCGCGAGTTCTGTTCGGGGGTGAAAATGGAAATGGTAAAACCTATAAAATCAGTTGATCTTACAGTAATAAACACGTGTTCCTAGCCCACCATCTCTTATGTAGGCCGTTAATTGTAAAGTATTCTCAAGAGCTACCAGGCCACAAAGGTAAAGTTAATAAAAAATAAGTTGTTAAAGCTTTGGTATTCGGAGTCGCTGTGTGGTTTCCATAGCAGTCGCACAGGTATGGACTGCTCTGGGTTGGGGGCCCAACATGATATACTTTCGGGGGCCAGGATCTCTTACGTGTCTGCAATACAACCTCACACGCGGACCGTAAACACGGAGCTGTTCTGCGCACGAGCACGCCACAATTCGCACATGCGCAGAATGTCTGGGAGGAGGCGGGGGCTATTTGTACAATTGTAGCATCCGGCGCTAGTAGGAATTTGCACACGGCTTGGAAATTACTGTGCAGGGTTGTACATCGTTCATCGAATAACAAAATCTACGTAGTTAGGAGACGAAAAAAACAAGTAGCCCCATGTATGATGTTAATTGGAGAACTGTTGGCGAATGCGTTATTAAGTACGCGTTTGTACCCCCACGTCCTCAAACACTTACTGTGACGGAAGTCTGACTTTCGTAGTCCTGGGAGCCCCTAGGACCTTACACTAGTGCACAGTTTTCGTAATAGTAAGAACTCCCACACAGCATTATGGTTGCGATTCAGCAGTACTTGTCACTTAAGGGAATGTCCGTTCCAGCAATAGGTGTGATTCTGGCTCAAAACTGGCCCAAACACAGCACTTCGCTAAACCATTACCATCTTACTTCACGTTTTACTTATAACCACACCTTTTAACTTTTGTATTTTATACCAGAGGTCTCTAATTGCCGTCTGTAATAGGACCCAAAGACGTGTTTCCCCTCCGGTTAGGTGCTGTCTGGGTGTGTCCGTCTCTAGGGGTGTTTTTGGCATAAACAAGAATGCGCTGTTAGTTTAACGCAACTGTTTTTTACAGTCGGTGTGTTCGGATTCGTCTCCCTCGTTTAAGGTATATGATTAATCAAATCTCTTTAAATTTGCCACTTCAAGTTTCATTTATATAGTTTTGTTATGCTGACCGTTTTAGTCGGTTACTGCACTTGGGGCGGGGAGAATTAAACTATGTTCTACGGCTTAATGGAGATTTTGCGTGGGATGTACAGTGATGGGCCGAATGAAACTAAACTGCAAATAAGTCATATTTCTCATTTGGAATATACATCGAAAAATGTGTTTTTATTGGTTACCGCTGACCATATTATTTCATCAGATATATGGTACTTGTATATGAGGATTACTGATTTGTGGTGCAGTTTTACCTGTTCTGTATACGCAGTTAAGTTGCTAAAAGTTTTCACAAATGTACGGTCTTTGTACTTACGACTCGGATCGCACTTCCTTTGCAGACAATTTTGTGCTACAGAACAGGTCATTGCTTTACATTGTATTTCGATCCATGACTTGTTTAGCGAGTTAACGTTTTCTGAAGACTGCATTCCTAAAGTATTGATATAATCCCTTTTATCAGTATGTACTTTTTAAAGTGTTTTGGCAATGATACAGCATTTTAGCAGTATCATGGATTTACTGAAGTGTAATTGTGACTAAAAATAGTGAATAAAAAGTCATTTATTTTATATTTTCAAGTAATCATTAAGGATACGTCTTACATAGACAGAATTAATACGTTTAGCATGCAGTTACTGAAGTGTTATGTTTTCCTTTTCTAAGCAACCCTCCAAATAAATTTCAAGATGACATTTTTACTCAAAAAAATGGTTAGTGGTCTTATCGACTACGCCGTAAGGTGAGTATTTCAAACATCCTACGACACGATTTAGTCTAACATGAATATATGCACACACCTTAAAATTTTGGGTGATTATTTGAAATAAGTGAAAACTGAATGCATAGCAAACTAAGGTACATAAAGACTAAGAAAACTATGTAGCATCATAGTTTAATTGTATTAACTGTACAGTTTATAGTAGTTTAATTGCACTGAATTGTATGACTCACGTCACCTCTTTCATCAACAGTAATATTGATTCCAGCCAGTTTGTACCTTCAGAACCTGTAAGTTGAGAGAATATTTTTGCTGTTTTCTTTATATTGTAGAATTTTAACAGAATTGAATGCACGTTGTTACGTGTAATGCAAAAAGCAACATTTACTTTTTATTAATTTATTATATATTGTTCATAGTACCCTTGGTTCATGGAAAAACGATACATTTTATTACATTTCAAGTAAATACTTATATTGATATCTTTCTCTTGTAGTGAGTATACAGGGTCACCATCTGTGCATTAATATTGCTGTTTCCTAATAAATTGATGTGTTGTGTTTGAGAAATGATTTTGAAAGGAGGCACGCTTTTGGATAAAATGTCATTAATGGTCCATTTCAGCAATAGTGTTTAACCTAAGGGGGGGAAAAGCAAATTTTTACATTTATTTTGGAGTGTATAATGAAGTTAACTTGCTTTCAGAAGTGTGATTGTTTAATGTGTTATGAGTGACTTGCCTGTGTTAGAGGATGACTTGCAAAGCAATTTTCTGTGTCATGCATATTTTATTCTTTGTATTACGGTAATGTAGATATGTAGGGCTGTGGGTAATAGATGTGTCTCTGTGCATTAGCCTCCACCCCAAATGCATCAGACACATGCTGCGCTGAATGAGAGCGCCGAAGAGAAGCAGTTCCGCAGGGTCTTCGAGCAGCTGGCTGGGGAGGTGTGTACCACCTGTAAATGTTATGTCTTGTTCCTCCAAATGAAACTTTTTTGTCACATCTAAGCTCATAGGTTCTAATTTATTATCCAGAAATTTTGATACCTCCATATCTGGGGATAGCGTCATGTCACGACTCTGGTACGCAGGGCAGAGAAACGGGAGCGAGATTCCAATGGGTCGGGGTAAGAATGGGATTTATTCCTGGTACGAAACACTCAATGACCGGACTCCGGAAACAGACTCTGACATGGACTTAAATACACCACAGTAATCAACGGGAATTGAAACAGCTTGGAATACAGGGATTCCACAAAGGGGTCACATGAGGGGGCATGGCACACGGGAGGATTGGCACGATTGGGGCATGACGCGTCAATTAGAATGTGTAATCATTCCGTTTGTAATTTTAGAATGTACTAACTGAGAAATATCAAGTTGTATCAGTGCTTCTGGGTTTGTAACACATGTTTCCTTAAATGAAATAAAGAGGCATTCTTCTGAGGTTTCACTATGTAACAATTGAGTGCTACAACTGGTAGTAACTCACATACATGCAGTTAGCTGGTATTCTGGTTTTGTATGGGTTCCTTTCTTTAGACTCCCTTTTAGGTAGTCCTAAGGACAGTGTCAGTTTAAAAGATAAGGCAGGCCCACTAAAATTTAATCTATACATTCAGCATGTCAATAAAATGTGTGTGGCATCTTAAGCTTTTCAAAACTTGCCCATTCTTTGATAGAAAGCAAGACAGATTCCTGTTTCCTCATTCCTGTCATTACAGAACCTGAATTCACCCTTTTACTGAGACACACCCAAAATATTTATGTGCCTGTGAATGATTTGTGGTGGAGAGCTTTGTTCTTTACTGTGTATTGATGCACTTTGTTGTAGGCGTTACCTTTACTGTCTACCTATAATGAAGCAGATAATTTGGTTAATTTTTTTAATTATATACCTGTAAGTAATGCAGTGGCATAGCCATTTAGTTGAAAGGCTGGATACACATGGTTCGCACGCCCTGTTAAATTCCTGGCTACGCCACTGAAGTAACGTTATCCTTGTTTCAGTAATGATGAACAGTGTTGGGCTGCATGGTGATTCACTGGGTACCTTTGTTGCCTCACATCTCCAGATTTAGGGCTTTAAATTCTGCCCCCTTTTCCTGTGTGTGTATGAGTTTGTATGTTATGCAGGTTTCCTAGACAAATTGGGATTACTAAATATATATGGGGTTAGTTACATTATGAGATGTCTATACTGATTTTTGTTTAGCTATGGCCACCAAAAATGTTAATTTCATAATTCATACCCAGTATGTTTTTTGCATTGGTGTTTTATTTTTGAAAGT